GAGAATACAATAAAAGGGCTAGTTTCCACACAAAAGTAGTTCGTTTCTTTCTCAAAAACTAAGAGTTATTTCTGGAATCCTCCTTAAATTCCCCATCGACTGATGTATGCTGTTTCTTTGTAAACTACCACGAAGGCAAAGTCTTTCCAAATCTTTCAAATCGAGTTGATTCATATCAGTCTAAATCAATCAAAGCCAATCAAAATCAATTCAAATCTTCAAATCAAAGCTGATCTGAATCTCTAAAACCTCTCAAAATCTTTCGAAATCTTAAAAATCCTCAAATCAGTCGTCTCACCCTTGTATTTCACACATGAATGCTGGCTTATCCTCGAGTACTTTCGGATGTTTTAAAGTATTTTCTTCAAGCAACATGCATGCGAAACAAGAACCGACTTCGGCGCTTGCCTAATACCCACATTTTATTTCAGAGTGTTACAGTTCAATGACATATGCAAATATATTAACTACTACAAGCCGCATGTTCATGCGTCCTCAAGGCCTGGCAAACAGCTATTACTTTTACACTCCGATTCAAATTAACATCACCACATCAGGCACCTACAGTTTCAAGTCAAACAGTATCATAGACACATATGGCTATCTGTACAGTGGGTCGACTTTTGAACCAACAAATCCGAATGTGAATCTTCTTATGTCGAATGATGACGGTGGTGGGGGTGATCGCCAGTTCTCTATTTCTGCATCACTCTTACCTGGCATCTACGTATTAATAATCACGTCTTACTCCCCTATGACAACTGGGACATTTACAATCACGAGAACAGGTCCAACAGGAGCCACATTTTGTACCTATCGAGGTAAGTGTAGATTCTAACTTGCGATTGTGAGTAATGTTTCCCTTAACCGATATAAAAACATTCGTTGCACTCATTTCTGTATTACTCAGATTTGTGGTATTCTCTCTCATGTACCACCTTCTACCAGGACATTCGGAATATTTCATGACTGCTGATTTATCGCTGAGTATCTTCCGATGTTTTAAAGTTTTCTTTAAGCAACAGTCATGCGAAACAGGAATCGATTTCGGCGCTTGCCTAATACCCACATTTTATTTCAGAGTGTTACAGTTCAATGACATATGCAAATACATTAACTACTACAAGCCGCATGTTCATGCGTCCTCAAGGTATGGCAAACAGCTCCTACTTTTACGCTCCGGTTCAAATTACCATCACCACACCAGGCACCTACAGTTTCAAGTCAAACAGTATCATAGACACATATGGCTATCTGTATAGAGGATCGACTTTTGAACCAACAAATCCGAATGTGAATCTTCTTATGTCGAATGATGACGGTGGTGGTGGTGGTGGTGGCCAGTTCTCTATTTCTGCATCACTCTTATCTGGCATCTACGTATTAATAATCACGTCTTACTCACCTATGGCAACCGGGACATTTACAATCACCAGCACAGGTCCAGCAGCAGTCATATTTTGTCCCTATCAGAGTAGGCGTTAATATTAATACTCAAATAAACACTTTGTGCTGCAGTTCGGTTATGCGCGAGAAGACAGCAGGTTTTTGTTTCAGTTTATAAAATCTAAGTACTTTGGTTTAAACTATTTATTATGATAACAAGAAAAAAGACATATGAGGACATCAGAAAACTGAGAAATTGGCAAATGCCATTGTAGTTAGTAGTCCGAGTTAAATGATTCGTATACAAAAGTGTTTGGGAGAAAAATGAGCTGAAGTTAAACGTGTACAAGAAAGAAGGAAGAGGGAATTGTAAAAGTAGGTTATTTTGTCTAACGGAGGTTCTCACTAGGCTTCTAAAATTGTTAAAGAAAAGAACCATTGATAATTAAATTATATGTGCTAAAAAAAAACACAACGAATATATGGGGTTTGAGAGAGAAATGAAAAAGCTCAAACGTCTCGAAAAATGAATAATTTAGATTTATCTCGTCAAGCAAGCATCCGAAAATGTTACGGCTGGAATGAAAAATGTTCAGAATTTGATTCTGCATCGAAAAGAGTTCAAAGTTTTTGACTGTCCTTTTAAACTTCCGGTAGTAAAATAACAATTTACAGTTTGTTTTTGTTGTCAATGAATTCAATTGTTGGTACTGGACAACGGGTGCCTGGACTTTTAGCAGACTGTCTTTTGGTGCGTGTTCTCGCGTTATCAACTAAAATCTCAAAGGAATGATCCTTGTATTCCTTTTTGAATTGAAGTAATTTAAAAAATCTCTCAAATTGTTCCAAAACTAATGAATTATCCATATACAGACCACCACCTATGTTAATTGCTGCTGATGCTGAATGTTTTTCATAAGTAATATCACTATCTTGTAATAATTCTGGATATTTCTTTGTTGCTTCATTCCATTCTTCTTGATTTAAAGGAAAGAAAAGTGATGATGGATGTAATACTAAAAAGTCACTTAACATGTGACTACGACCTCGTCCTTTACTGAAGAATGATGCATTGTCGTATAGTCCATCGATGTGGACTAATCACACCGCTACGAAAAGTGCTTTCGTCGTGGCCTAGAAATATATCGAAGCACATAAAAGAAATAAACATATCTGGGTGAGAACTTTCGAAAAAGCTACATTTTCTTCACTTACAAATAAGAAGGGTACAGTGTGGTGTAGTGGGTATAATCTATTTGGGAGATTCATCATTTGTTATAGTATAATATTCAACTTTTCTTGATAAAAAATGCTGAATGAATTCTTTCCGGTGGGCAATAACATCGGCGCGTTCGTGACCTTCAAAATAAGGACGATTGCTGTTGGCCTCATGTCTTCCACCCCAACGTCGTATGTCCAAACGACAGCTCTCAATTGAACGAATTAAATTATTCGCAGATTTCTTCAAATTATTGATTTTATAGTAACGTTAGGATGCCTATTGTTCCAAATGAACTTAAAAATTGATCAGTGTCTCTCCATGATAAATTTAAATGTCTCAAAATCATATAGATCATGGTACTTAAAAATTTTGGATGACATTGTTGTGCACATAACGTATATAAGTCACCGATGTCTGTTGAAATTTGCTTGTTGGTAAAGCCGATGATATCCGGTTGTAGATTAATAAATTCTTCGTCTTCACTTGAGGATGATTGTTGCTGCGGTGGTTTATCAAAAAGATTACCAGTACACCATCTCTTGCTCAATAAATTACGATTACGTGCTTTTCTTTTACTGGGTGGCATATCTATTGTGACCGTGTTTCTCTCTGAATTCCCAACTTTTATTTTTAAACACATTTATACCACACTCAAATGCACAGAAAAGCGGATATATATATACCAGCAGACAGAGGAAAAGAAAGGTTTTCTCTTATGAACAAACGAAAGAAAATAGACTAAGTGAAAAGTGCAAAGAGGATGAAATTGTCTTTCTTGAATACAATGAAGATTTCGCTGTGCAGATAGAGAGAGATAAATGAAATATCTGAATATACTATACCCTAACACTTATGAATAAAATTAAAAGTTAAAAATCAA